AGCAATCACACACTGTCGGTGGATATCGATCGTAATAAAAAATGTTGGCATCAGCCTTAAATAAGTAATTTTGGTGCAGAAAATGAATTATGAGTTTATTGTGCTGGATGTTGACTCTAAAGCAGTGTATCTAAAATCGTCAAGTATGGATTATACTTGACATCCTCGCTCTGCTTGCGTGCAACGTGACCTGAGTGTTGGTATGAGCGAAATACTTGTTATGTATTAAAGAGGAACCAATCTATATGTACCAAACGTATACATAATACAATCAGGCGCAACATGGTGGCTCTTCTCCGTACCTAGATGATGTGAAAAACAAACGAGACTGAGCAGAGGGCCAAAAGAGAAACGGGGCTTCGTCCTGCAACCGTATTTGTAGTTTTGGTTTATGCATAAGCCGCATCCTGTCAATTCATTATGCAGACCAGAGCGTGGCAGGGCATAGACCAACACAAACACACACGTCCCAACGCGCTTGCAGACACGCGCAAACGAGTCAGACGCGCAGATGTCGCACATACGCGCGCAAAAAACGCACACGTGTTGAATACGCAGACACGAGAAGAGAGGAAGACTGTTAATTAACCAGAGCTCGTTAATTCTCTTTCAACCGACAGCGAGGAGGTTTATACACTAATTACCTTGATGACTGAGCCAACCTGCGCACGCACGCACATATGCGCCACCTCGAATTGCGAAACACACACACACACACACACACACACGCACACACACGTGTACTCTCACAGGCTGACATAACACAACTTGCAGGCTTTTAAAGTCTCGTACACTGCAGTAAAATACAAAGGTGCGAAGTCTCACTCGTAAGCATATGCACACACACACACGCGCGCGCGTGCGCTGGAAACTCTAGCCCTGAAATGAATATTTCTATATTGGGAGCTTTTTTCTTTTTTTCTTTTCACGGTTCCTTCAGAGCTCAGACCCATCATGCATCGGTTTGATTCATACCTTTCTGCCAGAAATAACTTCACAGGATCTCCCATACTGTATCAGGAATGCTCATGTGCTTGTACAGTACGGCTGCGCTACACACGCGCGCACAAAACGCACTCAACGCGCCCACTCAGACACGCTCTCCGCGCCTTGCAAATGAGCGAAGCTCCCATGTCAGTATTGAACTGTAATGGCCCGTGTCAGATTAAGGGGAAGGTTTTTTTTTCATGTCCTCCGTCAAACTCAATTAATATTCCATCAGGCATGAATTCATAGGCCACGCTGGACCTTAGCCAACTCATCCGCATGTGTCTGTGTTCGAAAGTGTGTGGGTGTGTGTGTGTGTGTATGTGTGTGTGTCGACGTTCAGATATTTAGTAATCAGTCTTCATTCCGATAGCTCTTGACAAATAATAAAAAGTATGCGCAGGCACACAAACATGCTTTGTGAGTCAGTTTGGGAAAACATCAAGGGACGCTTGGGTGTTTTGTTTGTTTTGTTAGAGGAAGAGATGAGCTGGTAAAGCAGACAGGAAATAAAAAGAGATCCGTTTAAGATATGAGCAACGAGGTCAGAAGCTTTAAAAAGAGCTTATTGATAGGAAATGATGGGGAAGGGGGGGGGGGGGGTAGAGGTATGAGTGAACGAGTATAAGGACACATTTTGAAAAAGAAAAAGAAGTGAGACAACAATGGTGAGAGGCCAGAGGGACAGAGACATACTGTGCGGAAGAGACGAGAGGTTTTGTCAATGAGCAGAAGACTTTCAGATGGAGAGGACGGAGGATGAGAGAAAAGGAGGGAAAAAAGGGGGTTAGGGAGTTATGGGTCAATAAAGCCTGCTGTGGGGAAGAGGAGAGGCACTCATAACGAGGTCAAGGACACATCATCGATCGCCACGTCATAAAGCTGACGGGCAAGAGAAGGGAGGGTTGAGGGGGGGGGGGGGGGGAGAGGGAGGGACAGAGGAAAGAGGGAGAGTTACAGCTGTGAAAAGCAGAGTTGACTGCAGGATCGTCCGAAGGAAGGGAGGGAGGAGAGAAACAGAAAATAAAATTATCAGGATGAAGGAATGGAAGCGGGCAGCTCTGGGCAGAAAGAGGGTTAGAGGGAAATTGAATTAGATGAAATCATGGCTGAACAGATGAATTCTGTAATAGAACAACACACACAGAGAAAACAACCAGCAGCAGGCCTCCAACAGTAGTAACTCTCTCCTTGTCTGTCAATCAAGTTCGGCCCTTTCTTCATACATATAGTTAAACATCCATTATGTAACATAAATACTCAGCGATGTTTTAAACATTTCAATCTGTCCAATACTAATACTAATGACAGCCCCATCAGCCACAGCTGTGCTTTGTGATAAGTGCCAAATTAGCAAACATTAGCATGCTAACACGCTAAACTAGGCGGTGAACGTGGTAAACATTATACTCGCTTACCACAGTGGCGGAATGAGAACTCAGATCTTTTACTTAAGTAAAAGTAGTAATACTACATTTAAGAAATAACAAATAAAGTCTTAGTATAAGTATCAGCATCAAAATATACTTAAAGTATGTAAAATTGTCACTGAAATGTAATGGGGTAAAAAGTACTATAATTGCCTCTGAGATGTAGCGGAGTAGAAGTAAAAAGTAGCATGAAATGGTACAAGTACAAATACAAAAAAGAATTAAGATTTAAGAACAGTACTTGAGTATATGTACTTAGTTACATTCCAGCACTGGCGTAGCATCCCTATGTTAGCATTGTCTCACAGAGCTGCTAGCATCGCTGTAGACTCGTGGAATGCGTTCCATCTACCTCGGAAATCGGAAGTTGTACTTGGCAATGGCGTCACACCTGAGTTGACCGCGTTACGGTACAACAACTCGTGAAACTTAATGTGGCTTGCTCCATTCAGGTTAGCCATTGTTAGCTATATAGAAGGCCGGAGAGGGATAATTTCAATTTTAACCATGAAAAAAACATTATAACGTATTGCAATGAGATCTTACGATTAACTTCTTTCTTATTGCAAGAAAACAAATCATGATCCTCACCCGGTCCCTCTCTCTCACTTGTTCGCCCATTTCTTCCCTCTGTGTGCCATTGCCCCTTGGTCTGAAAAAAGAGGTCGGACTGCTTCATCTGAACTAATGCTCTAAAAATACATTGCTCTCTCTCTGCGGAGAGTCAAGATGAAGCCACTGCGATTCCAAGGACTGCTGCTTCTCTATTAGAATCTAATAGCTCCTCCTCAGTCTTGCTTGTGCTCACAATCTCTGCTGTCTGTTTCTCTCATCCCTTTTTTTTAACCATGTGTGTCAAGAAATGGCGGAAGAAACAAGTGCTCCGTTAATCCCCCCCCACACACACACACACTCCCTTACTTAATTAATTTAGCTGTGCATTAGGTGAAACGTTCCATTTTTCTTTGAGTGTTTGGAAGGAAAAGAACAATTGGTTTAGTTTGGGCTTTTAATGCCAGCCGTCCATCCGTTTCCCTCCAGATTATCTCGAGGCGACGTTCCCAGTTAAGGTTTTTTTTTTTTTTTTCGCCCTAATCTGCGTCTTCCCTCTGTTCCCCTCACTTTCTCGCTATACGCCGCGTATTTCAAAGCATATCTAAATTGAAAGGGATGTCATTTCTTGCGAATAGATAAATGAGCATGAGAGGAGATAGGAGGGGCGTTGTAAAGAAATGGGCTTCCTGGTGCAGAGTGATCCCTCCAGGCCAGACGGAGTCATTTAACTCCTTCTGATATTCTCTCAGCATGGATTTATTACGCTCTTCTTCTTTTTTTTCTCCTCCAAAGTGAAAACCGGTCTGCTAACTAGACTGGGGTGATTTGAGTGTTGAAATCACAGCAGGTGCGATGCTCAGTTTGAGCAAATGATGTGATTCATTACTGAATCATCACCACTTTTACCTGTAGGATTGGTGGTAGATTGCCTGTTGGTTTGTGTTCACAGTGATGGGTGCTGCCTGCTCTTCAAAGCCTCTGGGTTACACCAAAATCTTTCACGAATAGAAGTAAAACTCATTTTTTCGTTATTATTACTATTCAGATCCCAATTAAGTTCAACATAGAGGTCGCTAAAGGGTTAACAAAAAAAATATGAAATGAAAACAATGTAACGGATAAGGGTGATGATGTTCTATACTTTGTTAACAAATCCAATAAAAAAGACCAAAACCAACAATGCGTTAATCCATCTCTCAGTAGATTCCAACGTTCCTATCCAGCCTTCAGAAGATATCAATCTTAAAAAAACATTTCATAAATACAATAATACAGCAGATTCATTTGAAAACTAGATTAAATCATCGACCTAAAACACATGGACACTGCATTTTTATAAGCAAATGTAACTTTAACAGGAGTAACTATTTTCCGCTGCGGATGAATACACATCTGGTCACCTGGGGAATATTTATGCACACAAACCGTTCTGTACACACAGCAGGTTGGTGCAGCCGGGACCGACTTCAAATGAACCCACAGTGCCCAATGCCATCCGCTATAAAGGAACACGTCGCCCATTGCAACGATGTGTTTGATTCAAAACGACGGAGCTACGTCAGGCTTTGGATACACAGACCGGACTTGTCAATGAGATCAATGCATTGCAGGTTTTGTTGACAATCATAAAAAAATATAGAATCCAACTTCCTTTCACTTCATAGTGTTTTTTGACAGTGGGCTCTATATCGCCCAGCTGTTACTACTGGGCTCCAGTCCAGATGAAAAATAAGTGTCTCCAGGCCGGCCAGAGGTTTGTAAACATCCGCCATATCCAGCAGCAGTAATCTAAACTGGGATTAAAAGCCAATGGAAAACTTTGAAAGACCGCCGCGATTGGTTGACGGCTATTACCCTGCATTGTCGCAGCTAAGCTCATAATCAAGGCGAACACGATTCGGATAATCTCAATATGTCTTTGCGGACCCCCTTGTGGACCCCTCCTGTCTAATCCCCAGATTTAGAATCTCCGATTAGGAATCCAGTATGATTAATCCCATATCCTGTGTGTTTTCTGTTTTCCCGCAGGGAACCCTTCGCCGGGTGACCTTCTCCGTAGTCAGCCAGCCCCAGGACGCCGGCTGCTACGACAGCGGCCTGGAGGACTCGGAGACGCCGAGCAGCAAGAGCTCGTCGGGGCCGCGGATCGGAGCGCTGCCGCTGCCGGAGGAGGGCTATGAGCGGACCACACCAGAGGGCAGCGTGGGGGATGAGGAGCACGTGGAGAACGGTCAGAGCAAACGCACAAAGTCGCACAGTAAAACAGCCAATTATATTCATCAAAGTCACTCCGAAATTGCGGTCACGAGGCCACCAGATACTTTCATACTTTGTATTCTGTGAAAACACACACACACAAACACAATCACACCCACAGTCACTGCATGCTGCCAAGGTCTCAGGAGCCTCTCCTCTCCTCACGTGACGGGAATGTGTTTTATAGAATAAAGGAATTGTCCTGTGTGTGTGTGTGTGCTGTACATTGCTGCACATTTGTGTGAAAGCGTGTGTGTCACCTGAAAAGCTTATTTCTGAAAAGCTAACGGTTTGCTCGTCGGTGGCCTTGCCTTCAGTCGGCAGCCCAAAACTTCTCCTTTTACCAACAAAATTGTGTTTTTACCTTTTTTTCTCTACCAGGTCTTTGTCGAGGATGGAGACTAGCACACGAAAATGTTTTTTTATTTTGTTATTTTAAATTCTATCTTTTTCTCCTCTTTTCTCTGTGTACGCTCACGCCAGAGATGGAACAAGTGAAGCAACACACCAAGGTCACTATGACCCTGGTGTGTTGCTGACTGTACTTGTGGGGTTAAATGCTGCTTTCTCACCGACATGCTGAGTCTTGAGAATATTGTGGAGTTTTAATAAGTTTCCTTCACGGTCAGATAGAGAGAGGGATTGAACAGAGAATTAATTGTGTTTGTTTGCAGTGGCGGGCCGTGCATTTTATACCTGGGCCTTCAGTGCGGTCCTACTACAGTTGAACCACCTCCTAATAACCTCATTATGACGCCACAGCTATGGTTATTATTTGTTTCTAGGGGTGTAATAATACACGTATTCGTATTAAACCGCTCAGTACGAGGCTTACGAACCGAACAATACGTTTAAATAATACTTGTGCATTTGGAAGATGCAGAAGCTTAAATTGTGGGAAATATAATGTTCTTTCGGTGGAGCCACTGCGCTCAACCTGACACGCTGTCTGACACGCCCACCACGGAACAAAAACACTGTACTCAGCTGAGCCACGTGTGTTCTGGGACGCACACTAAATTAGCTTAGCAGGAAAAGCAACAGCAGCACACACGCTGAAAACTCTCCCCGCAGCGTTTAGCTGTTCCCTACAGATTTAAACACAATCCCCATTTCTCCAGACCATAATTCTTGCTTTTTAAAATAAAACAAATACATGAATACGCGCATGACGGGATGCTTTGTCATTAACGGACAATGCATATAGTCAAAATCAACGTAATTAACACAATGACAAGAGCAAACTCACAAGAACCAGTCTCATATATTTATATGACAACAAAGCATGACAAATCAATCCAGCAGACCTGCAGCGCTAAAACACGTATTCCGCCGCACACTCAATATTTGAATGGCACGAGCCATTCAAATATTATTCACAACAGAGGGAACAATATTCACCATATCATAAAAACGACACCATAGAAAAATGAACACAGTAGTAACGCTACTGCAGATGTAAAAAAAACGAAAGCACTTCACTTACCAAAGCTGCTGTTCACTTAAAGATAAAGTATAGTATAGTATATATGAGTCAGGGCTGCTAGCTGTTGGCCGACCCTTTCTTACGATGTCCAGTGGAAATGTCCTTCTCCAGAAAGGCGTTGCCAGTAAGTCCCAAATCTGTTTCTCCTCCTCCTTCAGCCATTGAGTGTTACAAAATCAAAGCTACACCAAGCAAAACGCTAAAAATATCATGTCAATGTCATAACTTCTTACATATCTTTCCACTTGAACTCTTACTACTGCTAAGTTCTGCCAGCTAGCTTTCAGCTTCACAACAGCGACGCTAGCCCACTGACCAATCACGGCGCACGTCATTGCTGAGCTGCATGTTAATGCTGACGTACTTGTAGGCCACCTAGACAGCTCTGACATGTCAAAGAATACGCCCAACATGTCAAACTAAAGATCTGATTGGTTGAAGTCTATGACAATCAACAATATCGTCCACATTTACTTAAACTGCTAAGGCTTCCTAGCAGGCCTCGGGCCTCTCTTCTTACCTAGAGACACAGAGGTGAAATCTGATTGGATAAAAGCTCTACTTAAAACAAGCTGCACTGGAAGCAGAGCAACTGACGAAGACAGTAGCTGTGCAGTGAGGAAATAAGCTAATGGGAAAAATAATTAGAATACATAAAGTGTATTTGGGAAAAATTATTAAATTATAAAATAGCTATAACTTTGTGATTCTGTTTAGGCCAGCAGAGAAGGCTTAGCTGGTCCTGACGGCCCACCACTGGTTGGTTGTAATTATACTGTATAATGATGTGCTTTTTTGGCTTCACACGGATTTACTGCCGCCGCCGCTGCCGCCGTGCAAAGGCAACAAACCTGGAATTAGTTTTCACAATACAACAGAAATATTTGATTTCTCGTGTTGCATTCTAACAGAGCAGAATTTGGAAAAACTAAACAGGCAATAAATGCTTTGTTTTCAGTTGCTCGTTAGATGCATACAGAATACTACTTTCCCTTTAACTGTCTGTAATATGACACCTGCGAAGCCGCATATACCTCATCTATCATCATCGTTGCAAGTCCCGTCTCCATTGAACGTGATGTCAGTAGTGATTCATAAAGGACTGGTTTACATAGATAATAACTATAACCTTTGACACTTGCAGGACATCAGCATCTAACCTTCTGAACCAACACATCAGTTCCAATATGTAACTTGATCTTTCCCTTGCATGGAAAGAAATTCAGATCTGTCACTAAGATTGCTGACTATAATCTTCTATTTGGCCACAACGGTGGATTGTTTTGACCTCACCTTGACCTTTCATGTGATTCTGAGCACAGCTGGAATTGGAAAATATGATTAAAGTCAGCAATTTCCAATTTGCTTTAACAGCATTTCTTTGGTTTTTAACTAATAAATATCACCATGAAACTTCCCCAGTTGATTGCTTACATTAAGGCAATTCTTTTTTGTATTACACGTTCTCTGAATTTGTATGTTTATATATACAAATGAGACATTGTCTTATCAAATATGGGTTGATTTGTATAATTTTCCACAACAGTGATCTGAACGTTGGATAAAGCCAGGTTCAGAATTGTTGTTTCATTGTGTTGACATATTGAAGTCAAAGGTTTTGACGGAGGGAATATTGGATGTCTCTTTGTATCACTCCATAAATCAGACAATACTGTCAACAGACGTCAATTTTCACCATCTTTTTAGTAATAAAATGTTGTATAAATCAGGCTTTGATTTATATATGAACAAAGCCCTCTGTAAAAACCTTCAGAATATAGATAGGAATGAAACTGGAAAGAGTGTTGTATGTAATTGGTACTGAAGGGGAGATTTCTGGTTCAGAGTCTGAGAATATATTCATTTTAAATGTGTATTGTAACATTACAGACATTTTGAGACTACAAAAAGTAACTAATAGATTTCAACATGAAACTTCCCCAGTTGATTACTTATATTAAGTCAAATATTCTTTATTATTTTATTTTTATTTATAATTATTTTCCTGAAAGAATTATCTAATGCTAGCTTTTGATACATTTAGGAGAAATCTACAGACACAAACAAGACAAAGTACTGAAATGAATACCTAAATGTGTATTTTGGATGTTTTCTTTCCACTAGTCTGAAAGAAGACATCCTTAATTGTCTCTTCTTGGGAGTTCCTGGTGGCCTAGTGGTTTGGACGCATACCGTATAATTGCAGCTTCCTCAGTTTGAATCTAGTTGTGTCCCTTTGCTTCAATCTCTCTTTTTGTCTTTCCTGTGTCCAGATGCCAGACAGCTGCCAGATGTAGCCCTAACAGGAAAGTGCACCAGGGAGTGTGATGAGTTCGGCCACTCTGACACCTGTTGGATGCCCGTCCACCCTTCGCCTCGCCAGCGCCACGGCAGCGACCCCCCACGGCTCTCCACCTTCGCCCCCGGTGACGACAATAACAACCTCCACGGCAACGACCACGAAAGCGACAGCGAGAGCGCCGGCAGCGCGGGGAGCTCGGAGCCCGGGGTGGTCGGCGGCGGAGAAGGTCAGAGGTTACCCTTGGCCAACGGGGATCCTCTCGGCACCCTGGGGGGAGGAGACCGCAACAGGAACATGGGCGACCACAACCGCAACCTCCTGAACCGCAAGATGACCTCGGCGTCCTACGACACGTTCAGCAGCGCAGGCTTCGGGAGGCGCCAGCAAGACGAGGAAGGAGGAGAAGGCCAGAACCCGGCCGAGGTCATACCTCTGACGCGCACCGGAGGGGACTACAAGACCACGTCCTGCCTCACGCTGTCACGCCGAGAGGTCTACCTGTGACGGCTAGGCGATTGAAGCGATCACTCCCTTTTCTGAAAGAAAAAACAAAACAGGGAGGGTTAAGACTTTACTGTCATCAGTTTGGAAGGCCTTTTAAACCTGCGAAGATGTGAAAATGTCAGGAAAAGATCTTTTCCAAAAGCTGTACATCAAATTGGATTTTGGATTCTGACTACTATTTATAGGCACCTAAACTTAAGCAAGCGATGAATCAACTCTTCGGAGAGCTCTGACCAGGAGTACTTTCTAAAAAAAAAAAAAAGCATTTTTTAACTACTATTGAAAGTTGCCCGCAGGCGATGATCCCATTACGTCCTTGTGGGGGAGGATGACTTCATCACTTCTTCTTTTTACCTGAATCCAGTGCATGCCTGGCCCTCTGCCACACAGGGGGTCCGTGTGAAGAAGAGAGAGGATGAGACTGAGTGAATCCTGATGCTATAAATGTCTCGGTGCATGTGGAAAACTTTCACCGGGGCTCCAGCGGGCAAGATTTGGACTCAACTGGCGAATCATCTTGCTGAAAAAAAACCACCGAGGTCTTATCATGTCAAAAACAGATGAAGGAGAAGTAACGGGTCTTTGATTGAGTTCCGTGGATCTAATCCAAACCAAGCAAACGTTCTAATGACTAAACACAACGCGGGGGGGATATTAACCAATCAAACTGCTGATCCCCGCGAGAATCTCAACGAGTCATAAACAAAGTAGTAAGAGTATGGCGACTGTACAGCTACACGGTAATGAGAAGAAAAAAAAGTGCTGATCTCTAAAATCAGGTATCTTTAAAAACATTCAAAACAAACTGCAACGACGTGAAAAGACTTTCTTTTTTTCTTGCAGTAATCAAATGTAACCACTCAAAACACAAGGTGCTCATAGAGCGTCAGTAGTGCCACAGAGTTCCGGCGTGTGTGAAAATACGTGTGCTATCATTTTTGCCTCCACACCCAGTCTGTATGTATATGTATGTATATATCGTACGTGTGTATTTGATAAGACGGCAGGTTTGTACTCTCTCTGCTGCTGTCCACCGTTTCCATGGGGGACTGAGGACGCCTGCCGCGTACCCTACAGGGTTCCTGTATCACAAATGTTCTTTCAAACGCACATGCACACACGTATACACACATGCATCACACTTAACACACACACACACATACACACACATCTGAGCATGTAAACACAAAGTGGTACAGTTGCATTTACAGAATGTGAACATGCATAGGGCCACAATTTATGACATGATCTGGTGGCAGTGTATCATAAATTATATAATAACTTGCATTAACTTTCGTACAGGAAACATTAAGCACACACACACAGTATTAAAACATACATAGAGACACAAACCCATATTACGATGTGCGCAAGTCATACGCACTATGTGTGTATGTGCTCTTAATCATACTTTTTTAACATATTGCCTCTCATTGAACTAGCTGTAGCATTTTGCCTGCTCCTCCCTGCCCCCACCCCCCACCCCTTCAGACAGTATTTAAACATGAAATGTATTTAAATAATTACTCATCTCTCTGACTGACGTGCTGGGCGACATTAAAAGGGAATTTCAGACATGTCATCTACTGTATGTAACGATAGACAATGCAGGAACATGAGATGTTCTGCATACTGTAAGTAGGACTCATAGAAAAACCAAATTTCTGTAAGGAAAAAAAAAGGACTCTGCATGAACGAAAGAAATGCTGACTTTGTTTCTCTCTTTTTTTAAACCACGCGCCTTTTTTGGATACCACGCCTATTTGGATACATTCGTATTACACGTGTGTGTGTGTGTGTGCGCTCACGTGGGGGAAGTGTAGATAATGATGGCGGCGAGGGAGTTAGCTTCAGTGGATTAAACTGTTCCCACTCGATCGTGGTGCGAGTTTGGTGGTAACCTTTCTCTCAGTCTCCATGAACAAAAGAAAACACAACGCAGTGGGAGCTGCGGAGATCCGCCGCACCCCTTTTTCACCACACAGTGCCGACCCGAACTCGCCCACGCCAATCTGCACAGATAACAGAACTTGCCCTTCACAGCAGCTACCGCACGAATCCAGACACACACTCTCTCCGCTGCGCCGGGGCCGAAAGAGCGTCTGTGGATTGAGGCCGGCGCATCTTAATTCCCATCATCAGTGTGTGGTTCTGTGGTGCGATAGGGATAATAGGGTTAGGTCGTCCCTGCGGTCTTAATGAGTTCCCTTTCTCCTCTCCTCTCCTTTCCTTGATCTGCGCTGATCTCATTAACGTCTGGATCGGTGAATGTAACACCGCTGGAAATTGCCAGTAAAGCGTGTCTTCATTTTTTTTTCTGGTTGTTTCGGATCCGATGAGGCGGAGGAGACGCGCTCGTTAAGGACATGTTGGTGGATCCTTGTAGAGCGTGTAGTTAGTCAGACAGGAGAGCAACACTCAGGTAAGATGTGTAACTACACTGTTCACTCAACGGTTGGAAAGTAGTGAGTCCTGTACATTACTTTTACAACCGGCGTCGTCCTGAGAGGTGGGTGTGCTCCTTGCGCGTGGTTACACGTTGTATATCTGTATATACCTTCAACTTGACAACTATGTGACCGACTCCCTTTAGCTCGTTTTAGGCCACTGATGTACTTACTCCCTAAGCCTTCATTACCCCCAAATCCCCAACACGGCTGTTTACTGAGCTCTGCTGTTGATGGACTGTGAGGATGTAAATAACTCAACGCATGGAGTTAATCTGTTCGTGGACGGTTCAAGTTGGAAAAAAAAGGGATTGGTGAAAACAATCATCCTGCGGGGCTCGTACACTGAAAGAAGGAAGGACACGTGCTCTTTCTCTGCGAGAAAGAGTTGGGACGAGTGTGTGTACTATTCAAAGAACTGAATGTCCAGCTTGTGAGTTTTGGAAAGAGACTCTTGACTCAGCCTTGCTTTCTCCTCGATTTCTTCAAACTGCCTGTTTTATGGCAGTTCTATTGCGGCACCTTTCAAACCCTCCCATCACCGGTTTGAGGGAACTTGAGCTGTACATGAATCGGTGTGGGTGTGTACCTGTTTTTCTTTCATTTTTTATACTGCACGTTTAAACATGAATATCTTTCAGTCTATCGCAAAACAGAGAGGGGAGACGGACAGAGAAGAGCGTGACGTCTGAGAACTATCACCCACTAATCGAGACATTTTTAAAAACAGACACTCCAGCGCACATCATGTCCCTGTCATCCCCCTTGTGCTGTTACTCTTATAGCCATGTACAGATAAAACTACACTGTAGAACAGACAACTGGAACCCATAACAGACAATGGCATGCCTAAGGTCTTCAAATCTGCACTTGAGAAAAAAAAGAGACAAAAAAAACCAACAACTGTTATTTTTATTTTCCTCTACTTTGTTTTTCTTTTCTTATGGGGCTGGCTCTGTTTTTTGCTGCTCCCTTCCTGTAATTACGTAATGAACTAATTGCATTTGCTATGACGAGTAAGAGGAGGAGCTGTCGAAGAATGGTTTGGTATGAAGATGAATCATGTAAAAGTTTGACTTTGACATTAAAAACTTCAAACACTCGTGTTTGTTAACTTTTGTTAGATTGTTTCACTCAGTAACAAGGAAATAAAAAATAGATAAAGAAATAGTAACAATGAGATAAACAATAGTAACTAAGAGATGAACAATAGTAACTCAGAGATAAACAATAGTAACTAAGAGATGAACAATAGTAACAATGAGATGAACAATAGAAACTCAGAGATAAACAACAGTAACTAAGAGATGAACAATAGTAACAATGAGATGAGCAATAGTAACTAAGAGATAAACAACAGTAACTAAGAGATGAACAATAGTAACAAGATGAACAATATTAACTAAGATGAACAGTAGTAACAATGAGATGAACAATAGTAACTAAGAGATAAACAATAGTAACTAAGAGATAAACAATAGTAACAATGAGATCAACAACAGTAACAATGAGATAAACAACACAATGAGATGAACAATAGATAGAATAGAAAACAGTTCCAAACTAAATATTTGCCTCAAGAATATCACTTTGAGACAACCAGCTATTGGTAGCGACTCCACACACATGGGGACACTTTAAGACAAAAACTGAAAAAAATATTTTTGGTTACCACTTTGTAATAAGATGACTTTTACAAAGGTTTATAAGCTGTAATGGATGGTTAATAAACATACAAACAAACTAATATGATATAGAACAGTTATAAGCCCTTAGACATTATGATAATGTTGGGGCAAAAACCAAGCAAAAATTATTAAACTTTACAATATTGACAATAAGTGGGTTTCTGAGCCGTTATCAAAACTCGCAATCCAATCGCCGAAAATATAATTTCTTGCAGAAATCTTTAGACGTCGACGTTTTTGATAGCGAATCACAGCATGGATTTTTCTATGGTGTTCCTCAAGGTCTTGGTGTCCTAAGTGGTATTTTGGATGGATTTTTGATCATTTTGATCAACTCGAGTTGAGTTGAAGTAAAATTAAACACCAAATCTGTGTAACAAATGGAATCAACACAAAAATCCCTGCAACCTCGTATCAGACATACGTTAGCATGGGAATAGCCATCATATGCTTTCGTCATAATGTTCCTTTTACACTTTCACAATTCATTTTAATTCCTTTTCATTTCTGATTTATGACTAGAATAACTTGACACACACTGCTGAGCCGTAACTCAAATGAATCTTCAGGTTCCCAGCTTTCAGCTGATGTATAACACTTCCATGTGGCATGTACTGTTGACCTGCTATCTCCCCCTAAAGATCCCCCACCTTGTGACCTTTTATTCACTCCTTGTTCATATTTACAACCTAAATGCCTTATTAGAAAATAAGGCAAACAATCTCTACTCAATGATTGCAGATGTTCAAACTTGCACTACCATGACAACTGTGCAAACTCCATCTGCTGATGATGACCTTGCGATACAGTGGAAAACTCCAGAACAAGCGACTTAGTGGACATTGAGTTGAGATTGAAATAATATCTTCAGTTTCCAAGGTCAAGAATGAACTGCGAAGTTCAATGTTTAAATGCTTCTCATGCCCAACCAACAGCACCAAAATCCTCCCATTTAGCAGAATGATACCTCGATACAAATATTATGTTAATGTGTAATGTCAATTTGCACCTGGCTGACACGCGTGCTGACTACAATATATTTTTAAGATATCACTGAAATGTGGCACAATCCATCAACCTTATCTTTGAAAGGTGAATTTTCTCAACTGAATCCCGCTGCAGGAAAACTTTATCAAATGTAGAGGGCAATTTGGACTTAAACTTATCAGAAAACGCTTCAGAGGTGTTAACTGCTGCAAAGATTAGTGTGAAGGACTCGAAATGTCAAGAGACAACACCTCTTGTCCAGTGTGCAACGCTGACACCATGTGTTCATGGATCAGTACTACTCTAGTTTTCTGATCCTTCTGTAACATGTTATGTATGAGCTGATGTCCTTTGTTTCCAATTCATTTTGGTCAAATTGAAGAATAGAACTAGAGAAGAGCAAGAAATCAGTTTCTAAATATACTCATCCAGTACTGAAGAGCTATAAATATGTTTCTTTGCATGTTCAGTCCAACGCCATGTCTTCTGAGAAGACAGCTGCCACTTTACTTTATAGCAATCTGGAAAATAATCATTTCTGAGGAGAAGGCTCTTTATATTTTACAATTAATGTCATGTCAGATGGATGATACATTCACTTTAGGTGTCATTTAGAAGTGTAAATCGGAGAGAAAGTGAAGTGCCAGGACATTGTTTCTTCTGTCTGTCTGTTCAGTCGGTTTGCCGGTGAACCAGGGGCGGAGTCTAGCCCACTAGCCCTAATTGTTGATGTGTGACATCTGCTCTGACTACCTGAGTTTAAAAGCACTCTTTATTTGCACCGCTTTGTTTGCTCTTTGTTTTCTTTTGGTTGTTTATTTAATTCAAAGTTTGGTTGATTCAGTTCATCTTCCTGCTTCATGTTGCTTCCCTTGAGCCAGGGTTGGATGTTATAACATTATGCATCAACCAGTGTTGTAGTCAAGACTGAACTGAGACCAAGTCAAGACCAGGACCAGAGTGTCTCGAGACCGACACAAAACCAATACTTTGAAGGGTTGAGAGCGAGTCATGACTCAAGACCAGAATGTATCAAGATTATAAAATAATCAAAAGACTTGGCAAAAGGGAATCTTATTTCTGGGAATTTTCCTTTTTTTTCCTATAAGCAGTCACATAAATTATGTTAACAAATGAATCACACAATGCCAAGGCAATTTAATGACATCTCCGCAGTTGACCAGTCAGGACCGGTCTGGGGAAAATATCCAGTCGTCTTTGTCTGACAGTCTGGAGACCACTTTTTGAAAGTCTTGGTCTCTTGGTCAAGAGGAATCTTGAGGACTACAACACTGGCACCAACCATACAGGGAAAATATGATGATTTGAAAGGCTAATAAGCACGGGAATCATTCACTCCATGTACATCAAAACCAAACATATTTTAATGCTCAATTATCTTCAACCAAATGTTTTCCATCTTAACAGGCCAGGGAGTTGGTCTGCACTTTGTTCTGGTCCACATGCCCATCACTTAATGCAGATCCACGGCCGCCCACTAATTACATCTTTCTAACAATTCCAACTTAATATTCATATCGCAGGTTGAATGAAGTCTATTGTTTGAGGAAAACTTGTTGAATTGTGGGGTTTTTTCAGGCTAATGGGGTTTAGTTTAAATGCCAAATCATGGCTTCCTGGGTCATATCATTTTGTCTCCTCATTATCTGCAATTAGTATAACCACTTCAATTAACATGCCAGCATGTGTCACGTCCAATAAAAGTGCTTTCAACAAAAATAATGATGAATTACTGACCACAGTTTTAGGTCTTCGGGAAAGAACAGGCCAGACCATCCCCAAAGGGCCGACTGTTCTGCAGCCTGCAATAAAGTCATAAAAACACACATAAAAGACAAATCATTAAACCACACAATAAAAGGTATTAGCAACCTTTTTGTGGCATCAAAAGCATCAGGTATCGTATCAATCAACCTCGTCATAAGTCATCTCTTATAAGTGCCGACCGTAAAAGGCTTTGTAAATAAATCACGCCGTTTCACCGGATAAATGGACAAGGAGTTGTCTGCACTGCAAAAAAAAAGGATGTCGGTTACTTTGAACTCTTAATTAAATGCCGGGGAAAGACCCAGTGGATGTGCATTTTATGGATTTCATAAAGATGTAGAGGAAAATGTTACGAGGCAGGCGTCTGGGGAGGTAAACCGCAGAATGTCAACCTCTTCACATGCTGTCCAGTATATCAAATGGTCTTTGGAGTTGTCAGATGCTTTCAGGGGCTTAAGCAAACTCCTTTTTCTGAGTGAAAGTGAGCTGAAGTGAATTGCCTTCACATGCAGACAGAAAGAGAGAGAGAGAGAGAGAGAGAGAGAGAGAGAGAGAAAGAGAAAGAAAGAGGACTCATGGCTTCAAAGTGAAAAGATATAATCGTATAATACGTTGAAATGTTTTCTGATGTCCAGTCAGTTAACATCTATAGCAGTGCGCTGCAAGCCTCCCAACACCAAAGAAACATCCAGCATCAGTGGGGCTGAGCGTAAAGCCTCGCAGATGTGATAAATTGTGTCGGTGGTGATGTTCCTCTGTTGAGGGAAGCCTCGCAGCCTTGCTGGAAACATTCTCTCTCCTTGATACGCAGGGAGAGGCTGATTTGATCCTTCCCGTGTTCCTCCGTAGGCTGTCGTTTATGTCTCTTCATCTTTTCATGGTCACATCAGCTCCAACTCATCAAAGCTGGGCCATCAGTGGGCGAAATAGCAGGAGATAACTTGTATACAGCATGATGGAAAAGAAAGCATGGGATGAGAGACGATGTGAAATTTGGATTTCCTCACTGTAAACTGACAGGATCTAATGGAACCAGTCCAGCTAAATGTCGATGTAATGGTCCTGGAGTTTTGGGACATCAAAACCTTGATGCTCATAAGTCACTTTATCCAAATATTAGATTTCCAGACTCACAAATTCTTACCATGATGAGGGTGTTAGACCAGTTTAGTGTAAAGGTGTCATTGTTCAATGTGAATTTGGAATTTATACTCAGTAAAAAAAGAGAAACTAGAATTCCAATTAGAAGGAGTTTGTCCATTTGACTGTTTCCCCCCTTGCTCTCCAGCTCTGTGTCATGTATTTGTATTCTTATTTTTTCCCGTAGTGTCAAAGTTGTGGCGTGTCTGTCTTCTCTGTCCTCATAGATGACCCTGAGAACGTGGTCCTCTGAAAGTAATAACGACTTGTATAGTGTGTGTGTGTGTGTGTGTGTGTGTGTGTGCGTGCGTGCGTGCGTGCGTGCGTGCGTGGGTGGGTGGGTGCGTGTAGCTGACCTGCAGGCACTGACGTGTGATTTGCTGTTTCAAGTGATTGCAGAGGTGAGTCTCATCTGCTGATTGGCAGATAGTTGAAAGCCTCTGGCTTCTGAAAGCCCAGAGACAAATATCCTTCTGTGGCTCCACTCTCTTGTTGTTTC